TTTGAAATTAACTAATTAGGTAAAAATAAAAACAACAAAATAAATTCTTCCTGTCCATATTTCTTGGTGACAGTGAGTAATCAAATGAAAATAAAGAAGTTTTCTTTTTTCCATCAGAACCAAGCCTTTGCATAATTTGAATAACAATTCTATTTCACTCTGATGCTAGTTGTGAAAATGGATAAAATCAAAAAAATTAACTATATGTTTGGGGGTTCCCAATTTTTTTAAAGATAATTAAACAGATATTGAGAATAGTAAATACATGATAGATACATGTTGAATATGAAGTGAAGATATTTTGATCTGCTATTAACTGTTGCAAAGCTGATAATACAGTTTCATGCAAAAGTCTTTGAAAATTGTTATTAAAAACAGGGGTTACAGGTCTATTTGTACAGATATGCAGTTCAAGTAGTTTGCCCTATGCCAATACATGGATGATAGAACATGTTCTCATGTGAGAACAACAGCAGTCAGGCCATGTTTTGATTTTCTCTACATAACAGGAACAAATGATGAGGAAGAAGAGCAAGTTACATTTGAATGAAAGACAGAACACAATGGTAGAGAATGCATTCTTTTACTGTAACCCACCCGAAGTCAAGCAAGAAGAAAAAGTGGTTCGACCTCCAATGCATGAATACATTAGAAAACTTCTCTACAAAGATTTGACAAAATTGAATGTTGAAAAAGTATTGAGACAGATTCGTAAACTACCTTGGGACAACAAGGAGGTACAAAATAAAAAAAATGTTTTTGTTAGATTGAAACACTAGATACGTGTGTATCTCACTCAGTGCCATAATGGTAACTCTTTCTTTGTTATTCAGTAATCTACATTTATTAGATACGTGCACAATGTATGAACAGATTGAAACACTAGATACGTGTGTATCTCACTTGATGCCATAATGATAACTCCTTCTTTGTTATACAGTAATCTACATTTATTAGATACATGCACAATGTATGAACATAAAAGTACAAACTGCCTTGGTTGGCAATGCGAACCCTGTTGTTTGAAAAGCTGTAAGGAAAGGAAATCTTGATGTTACCCTGTTATATGTACATCATTGTTAAAGATTACACATTTGTCATTTTATAAAACAATATTTACATTGCTACTTGTAATCTGATTTTATTCATTGCATTTTGATTTCCAGATTATCAACTATGTTACTAAATGTATGACTTGTATTTGGAATGTGAAGTTTAACAATATTCACTGTGTTGCCAGCTTATTGGCAGGATTAGTCCCATATCATGAAGAAATTGGTATACAAGTAGTTGATGGTGTATTAGAAGATATTAGAATTGGCATGGAGGTAATATAGATATTTTGTATTTAATTCCTGATTCCCGTAGTGGTAGTGTTTGTGCGTTTATTGTTTGTATGATTGTATATATTGTGTTACGTGACAGACCAGAAACCTCTGAAAATTTGCACATATTTTCCCAAACATGAACATGCAAATTACCCTTGGCTATAGTGTAATATTTTCATATTTTTGGGGTTATTTCGAGAGTTGAAACCTAAATTATGGTAATATTTACTCACACATATGGTAATATTTACACACACATACCATATCTTTGTCAGTTTTCACTGACTTACTTGGTGTTATAAAAAACATAGTTATATATAGATGATTTGTTATTTTTCGTAGATCAATCATCCAAAGTATAATCAAAGAAGAGTGAGTATTGTGAAGTATTTAGGTGAACTTTACAATTATAGAATGGTAGAGTCGGCAGTCATCTTTAAAGAACTTTATACTTTTATTACTTTTGGTGTTAACCTTGAAGGTCAGTCTACTCTACATCTTTTGATTTTGAGAAATGTCATCATTTTCCTTCTCCATTATCATCATCTGTGAAGTCACAGCATTTAATGTTATGTTTTACAGAAAGCAAACATGCAGTGTATTATTTGTGGGTAACAACAATGTACAAATGGATTTCAGTCTTATTTTATGTAACAATAGAAATAGCTTTTACTTAATAGTACATGTAGTTAAACTTGAAGGTTGGTCTACTGCTTGTTTTTGCAGGACTTTGTTTGTTATATTAACAGATATTATGGTTTCTGCTTGGTTTTCTGAAGTTCTGAACTACCGTAAAAACTTGATTAATTCGCGGTAGTAAAAATAATAATTTTTTCAAGTGCGCGAATTAATAGCATAAAAACATAAATTATTGGTTTTTGGTGCGCGAATTAAAAGAGTACTTTTAGATCGATTCAAAAAGGAGCTGTTTTCATGAATTTATTAGTGATTTGTTTTGTTTTACAATGAACACGATTACAGGACGTTTTTTAGTGCCTCTGAGACTCGTGGCTAGCGACATTCATGGCGTATAGTCGGGCAGAGAACACGCACCATGTTACACTTGAAATGAAACAGTGAAATGGCAAAGGTCACTCTGTACACAAACAAACAATGAACACGTGGCTACAAACATGGAGGTACATGTACCTCCATGCTACAAAGTAGCCGTCTGGCTGCACTGCCTTTTTTTTAGCTCTGCTGTCGACTTTGTCGAGCGGAGCTTATCATATGAGTGATTGTCTGTCGTCGTCCGTGTCAATGTTTTACTTTTTCAACTTCTTCTTGAAAACTACAAGCCTGAATGCTTTGATACTTGATTTGTTCTTAGATTTGTTCATTTCATGATGATATCTTCAATTCTCTAATTTTGGTGAATATTTTTGTCATTTTTGGTAAAAAGTGATATTTTCGACTTCTTGTTAAAAACCAAAAGTCCAATTGCTTTGATATTACATATATAGGTACTACATGTGGACCTCTCTCAGATTTGTTCATTTTGTAATGATATCTTTAATTCTCTAAATTTTCATGAATATTTTTGTAATTTTTGGTAAAAAGTGATATTTTCGACTTCTTGTTAAAAACCGCAAGTTCAATTGCTTTGATATTACATATATAGGTACTACATGTGGACCTCTCTCAGATTTGTTCATTTTGTAATGATATCTTCAATTCTCTAATTTTGGTAAATATTTTTGTCATTTTTGGTAAAAAGTGATATTTTCAACTTCTTGTTAAAAACCGCAAGTCCAATTGCTTTGATATTACACACATAGGTACTACAAGTGGACCTGTCTCAGATTTGTTCATTTTGTAATGATATCTTTAATTCTCTAATTTTGGTGAATATTTTTGTCGTTTTTGGTAAAAAGTGATATTTTCAACTTCTTGTTGAAAACCGCAAGTCCAATTGCTTTTATATTACATACAT